AGAATGAAAGAACAAGGAACATCTGTGCATTGGAAAAAGAATTGAAAGATACAAAAGAAGCAGATACAGTAAACTGTTGGCTTTCTTTGACTACTAGGCATTTGTATTTCTTCTATGTAAAATTTTCAAGTAATTGCTCATTTTTGTAATAGGATGTTTGTATTTTTATTGAAATGTTAGAGCAAATAATATATAAAGTATTTATATTGATCATATAACCTGCTAAATGTTGATATTTAGTAAAATTCTTGATCCATATATATTGACTTAGTAAAGTGATTTCACGGAATTTTCTGAATTTTAATATATTATTGATTCTATCAGGTTTTCTTTAGTCTAAATTGGGGTTTTAATCACACAATATTCATAGAGAGATGATTTAATTTCTGCCTTTTCAATAGTTATATTTCTTTTTTTTTCTATTTTCTTCATTATTACATTGGCCAGATCTTCCCAAACAATGTTAAATTGTGGTAGTGCATATGCTTGTCTATTATCAGCCTGTAATGGGATTAGCTCATATTTCAATATCAACTGAATGATTTCAGTTTACTTTCAGATTGAGGTTTGTTTTCATTAAATAATTAGTTTTTTTCCTAGTAGTTTACTGGGTTTTATGAGGAGTGGATGTTGGATTTTATAAAGTGACATTTTTTTAGCATCTATTAGGATTTATTTTGAATTATGAGCATGGCAAATTATAATGTTTACTAATAAATCGTTACATTGTGCAAATAAGATCAAGTTAGTGATAGTTGATTGTTATTTTATTGTAGTGTTAAATGTTTTATTCTATTTAGTAATTTTACATATGAAATGTATCATTTTATTATTTTTCCTTTAACGTTGAACTATTTTTGTCATGGTTTAGTATCAGAATCATAAACAGCAGTTTCATAGAACAAATTTAGACTATTTCTATATTTATCATATTCTGAAAAGGTTTATATAATAAGTATGTAAATCTCTTCATTTCAAGTTTGAAAGAACTCGTCTATAAGAAGAATTTGGGCACAAAGACTATATGTGGGTTAATTTTTTCTTAAGTGGTATTCATTTTCTTCTGTAGTTATAGCTTCACTCAAATTTCCACCACTTCTTGAGTACTTTTTATATTTATATGCTTTAGTAAAACACATTCTTTGAAATGGGAGCGCCATTTGCTGAGTAAGTCTGAAAGTGGAAAACATTCAGAAATGTTATTTTTCTGTTTCTTGTCTTAAATAGATTTTTGTTAGTTCCATTTGTTTTGAATTTCTTTATTCCTCTACATATGATAGCAGGATTTCCACATTATATTCTTTTTTTTTTTTCAAGTTTTCATTACATCTGTGTGCCAGATCTTGGTTCATCCTTTAATGTTTCACCTTTCAGTGCAGTTTTGTTTCACATGTGTCTTTTCAAATTAACATCAAGTTATGTATTTTTTAACTTTTTATTGAAGTTAAGAAACATACAAAAATACACATTGTGTAAATGTTAGAGCTCAATTATCACAAAATGAGTTCACCCATACAGTCATCTTCCAGGTCAAGAAACAATATTACCACCACCCTAGAAGTTTTTGTTTCCTCCTGATCTCTACCTCCCCAAGTGTATTAGCTTGACTTTTAAGATCATAGTTAGTATGACCTTATTTTGTACTTTCATATGTAGAATTATGAAGTATTTTTTGTGCATATTATTATTTTCACTCAACATTTTGTATGTGAGATTAATCTGTTTAGGTGCATAGTGCTAGACTTTTGTTAGTTTCATTGTTGTTTGGTATTTCATTGAATGAATATATCATAAACTTATTTATATATTCTGCTATTAATTGACAGTTAATTTGAGTTTGGAGCTATTATGAATAATGTTCCACTGAACATCCTAGTGCATGTATTTGGTGCAAATATTCATTCATTACATGCCTGTTGGATTATACCTGGGAGTGAAATATAATGTGTGTGTATGTGTAATATACTAATATTAACATAGTCACCAGTTCTTGGCTTTGTCTGTTTTTATTTCATTTAAAAATTTTTTATTTTGCTTTAGTCATATTCTGATAATGTATTATAATATCTCTGTGTTTTAAATATGCATTTCATGGGTTTCTTTGAAGCTGGACTTTTTTCACATATGTGTTAGCATTTGGATATCCTCATTTATGAAGTGCTTGTCCATGTATTTTGCCATGGTTCCAATTGCATTTTTTCTAAGCAACATGCAGAGGTTATATATGTAATATTTCCATGATAATATACATATCCATATTTTTCAGATATTATGTATTGTAAATATGTTTTCACATTCTTTGATTTGCCTTTACTCCTTCTAAATATGGTGTATTTTGATGATTGGGAGTTCTTGGTTTTAATTTATCAATTTTTAATGGTTGCTGCTTTTTATGTTCTGTCTAAGATATCTTCACATACCTCAAGGTCATGAAGTTATTTTATATTACCATCCAGAAGCTTGTTAGGGTGCCAGACAGAACACAGTGGAGTGTACCATTTTCTCCGTCTTTAAAAAATTGGATATTGAATCACATCACAAAAAATCCAGCAATCACAAATAACTTCAGTGCTTATTACTCATGCATACACAGGCAAAATGAAAGAATTCCCTGGGTGAACAGCAGCTGTGTCTCACCAGCAAGAATTTGTTCTTGAATGTCTGAAAGAGGAGATGGAAGAGGGGGAGTGAGGTTATGGGGGGAAAGAGATAGAAGTTAATAATGTATTTGTCTACATGAGATATGCCTACAGTATAAACTGAAATAGTGGCATTGGATAGGAAAAGGTAAATTAAGATGTGGAAGAGGTAAAATCAGCCAGTATTGGTATCTAAATGGTTTTAGAGGTTGAAGCTGTCCAAGATGATTTCAAAGATTCTGAATTAGATAATTAGGCTTTAGGCACTGAGATAGAAGATATAGAAAAAGATTTCTCTAGAAGGAGAAATAACTTTATTGAGTTTTATGTGTTTTGTATTGAATTGTTTTTGGGACTTTGGGATAGAGAAGTCTGATGATTAGCTGGAAATATAATTTTGAAGCTAAAAAGAAAACCAGCACTAGAGACAAAAGATTAGGAACTCATTGTTGTGTAAATAATTTTGTTGGTACTTGGAGAATTCCACAAAGAATGACTTGAAAACAAGTGAATTAAGATATCAATAAGATATATTTTTAAATAGATTAGAGTAAATAAGTGAAAAGACACCTTGACATAAGGGAAGACCTTCTAGTAGTAATATAATTGGTATTTAAAAAATTGGATAAATTGGCATATATGAAAAATAAATTTGTCCATCAGAAATTGGGTTGGTAAGTCATGGAAGCATAGGAAGAATCATGAAACCAAATTTTGATAGCTCCCATCTTCAAGGGCCTTAGGACCAATGACTTAATTGTCTGATCCTGAGGTCTGTTGTAATCACCCTCAGTTTTTGTCATATGTGTCTTAGCCTTAAAACCAGAACAAACCCCAGGCCATGAAAATGCACTAAAATAATGTCATGTTATATTATGTGTTGTCTTTTTTTTTTTTTAAGATTTTTATTTATTTATTTGAGAGAGAGAGAGTGAGAGAGGAGCGAGGGACAGAATGAGAAGCAGACTCCCTGCTGAGCAGGGACCCCCCAGGATCATGACCTGAGCCGAAGGCAGACGCTTAACCAACTGAGCTACTTAGGTGCCCCAAATGTGTTGTCTTTTAAAAAGCAACACCTCTAGGGGCGCCTGGGTGGCTCAGTCAGTTAAGCGGCTGCTTTCGGCTCAGGTCATGATCCCGGGGTCCTGGGATCGAGCCCCGCGTCAGGCTCCCTGCTCGGTGGAGAGTCTGCTTCTCCCTCTCTCTCTGCCTACTTGTGCTCTCTATCTCTCTGTCAAATAAATAAATAAAATCTTTAAAAAAAAAAAAAAAAGCAACACCTCTATCTTTTCTGAGCTTTCATCACTTTTGGCCAGCTGTATGTTTCTGTTTTTTGTGAGGTTTCTTTCTTTAGTTCATTTTTAAATCCTAAACATAACTAGTGTGATTACATAGGAATAAAATAAAAAGAGAAGAGAACTGGTGATAGAACACTGAGGACTACATTGAGGTTAGAGGAAAAGAAAATAATTTAATGAAGGCCTGGAGAGAAATGAGAGAATGGAGAGAACAGAATATAAAGAAATAAGGCACATGAACAAAGACATTAGTTTTTAAAGGGTAGTAGTCACAGTTTCAAAAGCTACAATGGTGACAAATAAGAACGAGAATAAAAGTATGCAACAGACTTTCAACTAGAATTATAGACTTTGGAAATAAGCTAAAAATAATGATAGGTAACTGAATCTAAATTGAAAACCAACATTTCAGAAGAACAACTTTTTCACTTTTCTCTAAGATTCTCTTATTTCATGCAACAAACTTACCATAGGTTTTTTTTGTTGTTGTTGTTTTTTGTTTTACTAAAGCTGTTATTAAAAGAGTACCAAAAATGGCTATTACCTTTTATTATATCCTGGGCAATGTTATACATTTTGTATCTTAGTTTTTAGCTCAATAAATTAAATATTTATCTATTTTACAGCTAGATAAATGGGATTTAGAAAGTTTAATTCAAAAGTTACACAGAGTAAATGGCTTGGATTTAACATAAAAACCATGCTCTAGTCACTACAATTTGTTGTATTAATTAGGGATATTAATATCGTGATCAGGATCTCTTCTGAACTCTCTTCACTATTTTATTAACAGGCATTATTTGCTCAAGAGGAAAAAATAAACCTCTAGGAAATGAAAGAGAAGATAGCGGAGAATCTCAAAGGGTGATAATTTTTTCAACTTCATCTATATCTGAATTTTGAGACACGCTATAGTATTTGGGAATTAACAGTGAAGAAACAAGTTAGAAACTACGAAGGACTATTTATTTTAAAATATTCATTGTCCAATGAATCCATCTAAAAGACTCGCAAATATCCACAAGCCGGCTGCTTTCAAAAAGACCTCTACCACTAGCACAAGATGGTACCATTGGCATATTATGATCAACACTTTGTGCCATTAGAACACTCTTACCAACTGACCACAACCAATTCATTAACACATCAATACGCAGGTGAAAAACTAAATCAATCCAATAACAAGCCTGTGGTCAGAGTGCAGTCCCATAGTAATCACCTTGCAGCACCTCTAGTTAGCTCTAAGCAGATGGTGCAGAGCTGCTCAGTATTGTCCTCTGCCAGGTCTCAGGACACAATTTCACAGGGCTTCTATAACAAGGTTCTGAAAGCACCAGTATCCCAGTCCAAACGTCAGGCCACACCTTTACTAGACCTCCACCAGAGAACTTCACTGTGGCCTAAACTGAGAGCCCTGAGCTCACCTGTGATACACCATAAACCTCAGACAACATTTTCCCTTGACCTTAATAAGACATCTTCATTGCTGGGGTCCAGCCAAACAAATTTGAGCTCACAATTACCCCTCCCCAAACCTCAGACTACATCTTCACCAGATTTTTGCTGGACATCACCTTCACAGAAGTCTAATCAAAGAGTCTCAGGTTCATCATTATTCCCCTCCGAACATCAAGAAACACCTCCCCTAGACAGCCTCTGGGCATCATCTTCTTTGGGATCTAATCAAAGAGTGCTTAGCTCAACATTACCACAATCCAAGCCTCGGAAAGCATCATCATTGGGAAGCCTTTGGACATCTTTATTGGAGCACAGTCAAAGATCTTTGAGCTCACCATCACTCAACTCCACACCTCAAATAAATGACTTACTTCAGTCATCATGTTCATTGGAATCCAATCAAATGGCTCTGAGCTCACCGTTACCGGACTCTAGACCTCAGACACCACCTGCACTGAATTGTAGTTCCTGTGTTCTGAGCTTACCATTGTCCCACTCAAAACCAAGGAAATCACCTTTGGCACATTCTGTCCGCCAGACTCAGAGTTTGCCATTGTTCTCACCCAAATCTCAGACGGTGCTTACATTTAATCAAGACTTCAGGACCCTGAGCTCACCAGTTTGTCACTCCAAGTTTCAGAACACCTCTTCACCAAATGACAAACAGAAAGCCACAGGTTTATCTTCACCCCATTCTAAGTCAAATGTCTCAGGTCCATCATTATCAAGCTCCAAACAATTTATCAGAAATATAGCTGCTTCAACATTGGGCTCCAGATTCCAGAGTAAAAGCAGCTTTGATCTTTGTGCAAAGACAGAATCAAATAAAGAAATTCCATGGAGTTTAAATTATATTTATCCCTGCATTGTTAAAGGTGGAACTGTCCCTGATGATGTCCTAAATAAAATTGTCAATTCTCTCTCCAAGACCAGAATCCAGAAGGATCTCTGTAGGCAGATTCTCTTTCGAAGGATGAGGGGAAGGCCAAATCCTTATCCTGGTCCCCGCCTTTCATCAAATTATGTGGTTTGTTTAGCTTGTGCTTCCTGCATAAAATCTCAGTGTAACCATCTCACAGGAAGGAAAGATCCTCGCAGTGCAACACTGTTTGTCATACCAACACCTGAACTTGGTTCTGAGGGAGAAATGGAAGTGAAATTAGTTTTTCTCCTTTCCCTACCAGAGACTTCTCTCTCATCTTGTTTCCCATCCCCTGTGAAAGAAAATCAGCCTGATGAAGCCCCTGAAGACAACCTTGAAGGAACGGAGAAGATACAAATTATCTCTCCATCTGAACCTGAAATCACACAAGAGCTAGATAACAAATGGCCGACAGTAGCCCCTGAAAACAAAGTTGTAAGCCAACAACCCCAGGCTATTGACTGGCTGCTTTATGTTAAGAAAAGTGGTCATTTTCAGCCACAGTCCCTGCCTCAGTCCTCTTCCTCCTCAACGTCCTCCTCCTCCTCCTCAACGTCCTCCTCCTCCTCCTCAACGTCCTCCTCCTCCTCCTCTTCATCATCTTCTTCCTCCTTTTCTTCTTCCACTCCACCTTCCTTACCCCCTCCTTCCAAAGAATCTACCACATCTACTCTCTCAGGTTGTGTATTCACTAAGGTACTTAGTTACCACCGGTTGCCTCCAGGAGTCTCCTGGCTTGAGTTTATATGTAGTAAAAATCACCAGCTACTTCCTGGAAAACCACAACAGAGTCAATCACGACCTCCCAAAACAAGGCCTATGAGGAATAGCACCACAGTAAAAGGGCCAAAGGGACCAAAGATACTATTCAAATTTTTCCAGACAGTTTCAAAATGAGAGAAATATTGATTAAATTAATTTGTTCCTTTGAAAGCAATTGACCTCTTATCTTAGTTCTTTGAAATTAGAGATTGATTTCCTATCATGCTTATTACAATTCTTAGTAATAACTAAGTGTGACTATATATTTTAGCTGATGAAGCACATAGTTAGGGGAACTAATACTCTTAAGTCTATTTTCTAGTTAAATAATAGACTATGATCTCCTAGACAGCAAAACTGAATTCCAGGTTTTAACCAAATGCCTGGCTTATAGTAGCCACTGTATAATCATTGTTATATGAATTAATCATAATTGGCCATAAACCAGAAATACCTCATATGTCTTGTCCTGAACAGTATCTAGCTCATTGTTATTCTCCTTCCTCATAAAACATGATAATGACAGTATCCTTAAGGCAACTTATGCTAATCTGTTTCCCTATCTCTGAAGAAAATTCAGATCATGTTCAGCAGGTAAGAATGTATATAGAGAGGAATCTTTTCTCTAGTTATGTGAATCTCTTTCTAGTTATGTGTTCCTAGGGAAAATTCTTCTATGCTAAGATCCCAGACTCTGAAATCCAATGATTTATTCAACCTTAGTTAACAAATCTCAGGAGAGAATTAACTAGTACAAACAACCCTACCTATTGTCTGTGCCAAGATTTAGGTTACAGGCTCTGTGCCAATATTTAAATTATAGGCTCTGAAATTACCTGTTCAACACTTCTATCTATACATCCAAAATGGGTTAATAAAAATGTTTCAAAAATGTTTTTGTTCCACTGGGTCTACTGGTAGTGGGAAGAGAAGGAAGTTAATTGTCTTAGATAAGACAGTAGATACTCACCTTAAGTGATCATCTCAATCCCCAAGGACTAGAATTAGTATCTCTTGCATGCACTGATGACTCGTACTTCTGCTCCACCAATATCTTTCTGACTGTATACTAGACATTTCCAGTTGGAACGTTGCATAGGCATCTCAAACTCAACATGATGAAACCAGAATTATTGTCTTTACATTTATAATTTGGATCATTACATTTACAATCCTTTGCCCCTAGTGTTCCTATTTCAATGGATGTACCACCATTCATCATGGAGTCATGTTTGACTGTTTTTCTCATTGCCTGACCCTCTCTAAGTCCATGAGTTCTATGGCCTTTTTATCCCTAGAATCCAGCTTTTTTTCTCCAACCCCATCACCTCTACCCTAGTTGTGATCATGACCGTTTGTCACTTGGATTACTGCAATAACTCCTAAATGTGCACTTCTAACTTTTGAATACATTTGTAAGACACAAATTTGATAATGCCATTCCACTGCTTAGAATCCTTTCATCATTGCCCAATGTTTTCTTGGGAAAGTCTAAATTTCTCTTGTAATTGAACTATGATAGCCTCTCAAAACTTACTTCTTGTTCTTCTCCAGCTACAGCCGTACTAATTGCTCTAAAATGCACAGAATGTGCCAAGGTCTCTGTTACATCCTACATTTTTTTCGTTTATCATTTTATTCTATTTCTTTTTTTCTTTTTTTATTACGTTAGGTGTACTCTTTAATTCCTGTCCCCTATTTCCTTTATCCCCCCATTCCCTCCTCTCTGGTAACCATCAGTTTGTTCTCTATAGTTAAGTCTGTTTCTTGGGTTTGTCTCTGTCTTTCTATTTTTTTTTTTCTTTTGCTTATTTGTTTTGTATCTTAAATTCCACATATGAGTGAGATCATATAGTATTTGCCTTTCTCTCACTGACTTATTTCACTTAGCATTATACTCTCTAGCTCTGTCCATGTGGTTGCAAATGGTAAGATTTCAATCTTTTTATGGCTGAATAATACTCCATTGTGTGTGTATATATATATGTATATATATATTCATCTCTTGATGGATACTTTGGCTGCTTCCATATTTTTGTTATTGCCAGTAGTGCTGCAGTAAACATAGGGGTGCATATCTTCCTTTGAATCAGTGTTTCTGTATTTTTTGGGTAAATACCCAATAGTGTGATTCCTGGATCATAGGGTAGTTCAATTTTTATTTTTTTGAGGAACTTCCGTGCTGTTTTCTACAATAGTTGTACCAGTTTGCATTCCCACCAACAGCACACTAGAGTTCCCCTTTCTCCACATCCTCACCAGAACTTGTTGTTTCTTATGTTTTCTATTTTAGCCATTCTGACAGATGTGAGGTGATATTATAGCTTTAATTTGCATTTCTCTGATGACGAGTAATGTTGAGCATCTATTCATGTGACTGTTGGCCAGTTGTATGTCTTCTTTGGAGAAATGTCTGTTCATGTCTTCTGCCCATTTTTTCCATTGGATTGTTTTTTGGTTATTGAGTTGTCTCAGTTCTTTTATATTTTGGATACTAACTCTTTATCAGAAATGTCGTTTGCAAATTTCCTCTCCTATTCAGTAGGTTGCCTTTTAATTTTGTTGATTTTTTTCATTCACTCTGCAGAAACTTTTTATTTTGATGTATTCCCAATAGTTTATTTTTGCTTTTATTTTGCTGGCCTCACATCCTACACTTTTAAAAAAATTTTGCTGTCCAGAAATATGTTTCCATCTATACATTTTTATCCTACAGGGCTCTGTTTTGTCTTGAAATCTCTGGAAAGCCTTTCCTGATGCATTTATGAAGGGGTTAGTAGGCTCTTCTATTATCATAAAACTGTGTTAACTCTTTGTACTGCTCTTAACTCATTATAAAGTAATCATTTCTTGTCTGTTTTCACTTACTATACTGAAAACTCCTGCTCACTATGTTTTTGTTTTTTTTTTTAAACCTAGTCCTTGGCATAGAGCACATGCCTTAAAACAATGTTGATATTGAATAATACTATTGAAGCTCTTCTTCTTCTTTTAATTCTCTGAAATAAGTAACATTTCATCAGTTTACTTCTTTCCCTTAAGATTGAATTGTTCTTTGTACCTTTTGTCTTGGTGAGAACATGTATAAAACTGTTATTGATGACAGCAGTCATCCTTGTCTTATTTCTTATGTTAACAGTGCTTCTTTCTAGTATTTCAGTATTAAATGTGATGGTGGCTGATGTATAGCTGATCAGTGATGATGAGGAAAAATTTATGTATGTGCTAATGTGTTCATGGCTTTCTCCTAACCATTTAGAAAACCCTTGACATGTGCTTTATTCATCCTGAACTTTTCTTTTGGTGACACACATCACTTTGTAATTACTTGTTTAATATGCTCTCAACTAGACTAAACTTCAGGAGTGGAGGTCCTGTGTCAATCTTGTTTACCACTAACTCCTCAGGATGTAGTGGTACCTGGCTTATATTACATATTCAATAAATATTTATGGAATTAAGTTAAACTAAGGAGTTCAACTGACTTTTATTTATTGATATAATTTACATGTTTAATTTTCTAACTCTTAGCTTGTTTTCTAAACTTTATACCTCATTGTATTTTCTTTTCACTTCTTTCCTTTTTTCTTTTTTCGGCTATGATTTAGTTGCTTTTAACTTTTCTAATGTATTGGCAGTTATTTATCTTGTTCTTAATTATAACAATGTCTACTTTCAAGATGTTTTCAAAAGAATTCTTTAACCAGTATTTTCTAATTTGAAAATAAAACTGCATCAAACTTATGGGAAAAATGCATAAACAGTGGTTATCCAACCCTTTTTCTCCCCAGCTTCTGTTAAGACACCAATAGAATTTTTAAAATAAGGAATAACATGTGTCATGCCAGAAAGACCAAGAAATTTCTGCCAAATCTTGTATAGATGAGACCAGGTTTCAAAAACATAAGTCTCAAAATTCACTGCATTTGAAAAAAAATGATCATCTGAAAAGTAATAGAAAAAGATATTAATTGCATCTCATTAATGCCTTTCTCCTTAAATTGAAAGGGCTAGACATGAGAACAGATGATAGTATAGTTGAGAGGTAGAAAGTGGATCCTATGAGTTGTCTCATTTTGATCCAACCAATTGATGTAAAGTGGAATGACATATCTGGATGATAACTTGACAATAATATAAACCTTAATAATATATGTAACTGTTGGGGAGGAATAATATACATAATTGTTTGCCCTATGGTCATCTTTATTCAAAATTATTTTAAAGAAATCATAATGACTACATAGAGTTATATAAACAAGTAAGCTTTGTGTTTCTTTATAATAGGAATTGGGAAAAAAATCTAGATGTTCATTTATAGAAGTGTTTAAATGCACTATGATTCATACATGTGATATTTTTCCTAGTGAAAAAATTATTTCTAATGTTGCATCTACATTCGTTTCAGGAATAGAATGACTTTTGTCAGGAAAATATCTTGTTGAGAACCCTTAGGCATGGATAGTGATCCTGAGCATGGGTTGGAAGAACAAAGTTGAACAAAAAGGAGATACCTAAACTACTGTATTTCAGTTTCAAACAGGACCTTTTCAATGAGAGAACAATGAAAAGAGAGAATATAACATTTTGATTTGTTATAAGTGAAAATATACTTGGATTATAAGACATCACATGCAGTTTATATATGATTCCACCTTGTAAAACATTGAAATTACGCATATATGTATATGTGTGTCCTCATATTGTTGTCAATTTTGCTGTTGTACTCTTGTCCTCCTATTGGTATCATTTGTGGCTTTACAAGTTCACAAGAAATAGATACTTTTATGAGATACATAGTTTTTACAGGAGCAATAAATTTCCATTAAGTTTTAAAGTCCATTAAAATATTAAAAAAATTCCATATTTTCTATTTCAATATTCATTGCCAGACTTCTTACACCATTCTTTTATTTATTTGTGTATTTGTTTATTTTTAATTATGATCTATTCAAACCTATGGAGAAAGACAATATGTTGGTGAAAGTTTTTAACCACTATCTAGCTTTATCAAATCTTCTTTGGTTACATTTACTTCATATGTTAAAGAAGTAAAACATTTTGATATAAATGCTAACCCCTTTGTATATAACGAGCCAGGATCTCAATCCTATCTTGTACTCCCTAGGAGTAAT